TATAGACTGAGACAGACTAGGAAGAAGGAAGAGGCCGTCCACTTCTGAAAGAATTGGCCAGGGAAAACCTTATGAATAGCAAAGAAACAGGCCCTGCATGAGCACAATTAAGTGTTCGGAATTCCAATTTTTCAATATCATCCATGATTTGTTATAATCCACAAAGTCAAATGCTTTTGCATAGCCAATAAAACCAGATAAACATCTTTCTAGTATTCTCTGTTTTCAGCCAAGATCCATCTGATATCAGCAATATGTCTTGTTCTATGTCCTCTTCTGAATCCAGCTTGCATTTCTGGCAGTTCCCTGTCATGTACTGCTGCAATTGTTTTTGAATTATCTTTAGCAAATTTTTACCCCACCCTCCCCTCTGGAAAGATTTATTTGTTAACCTACACAATTAAAAACACAGTTCCTGGTTTTCTACTAAGAGTCATAAAATAATACATAAGAGGGCTGGCTATTGAGTTTCTTCAGCAAAATTTTCCTTGCGTATGATATTAATTATATCATTTTATAATTTTCACATGCTATTGCATCACCTTCCTTTGGTGTGGGTACAAATGTGGCTCTCTTCCCATTGGTTGGCCATGTGGCTGTCTTCTAAACTTCTTAGGATAGACGAGTGTTTCCAGTGTTGCATGTTTGTTGAAGCATCTCAATTAGTATTCTGTCAATTCTTGGAACCTTGGATTTTTCCTTCAGTACCATCAGTTCTTGATCATATGTTGCTGCTTGAAATGGCTGAATGTTGAATGTATTCCTTCCATCTTCTTTTGATGATTCCTACGTTGTTCAAATTTTGCCCACTGAAGCCTTCAATATTGAAACTCGAGTTCTTTCAGCTTGAGAAATGCTGACTTTGTTCCTCCCTTTTAGCTTTTTATTTCCAGGTCTTTGCCCATTTTAATATACTTTACTTTGTCTTCTTGAGCTGCCCTTTGAAATCTTCTGTTCAGCTCTTTTACTTCTTCACTTCTTCCATTTGCTTTAGCTACTCTGTGTTCAAGAGCAAGTTTCAGAGTCTCTTCTGAGATCCATTTTGGTCTTTCCTTTCCTTCTTGTCTTTTTAACGATCTTTACTTTCTTCATGTAGGATGTCCTCCCACAAATCTTTGGTCATTAGTGTTCAATGTGTCAAATCTATTCTTGAGATGGTCTTTAATTTTAGGTGGGATATAGTCAAGGTTGTACTTTGGCTCTTGTGGACTTGTTTTGATTTTCTTCAGCTTCAACTTGAACTTGCACATGAGCAAATGATGGTCTGTTCTGATTGATGACATTGGGGTTCTCCATTGTCTATTTCCACAGATGTAGTCGATTTGATTCCTGTTTATTCCATCTGGCAAGGTCCATGTATGTAGCCACTGTATATCTTGTTGAAAAAGGTTATTTGCAATCAATAAGTCATTGGCCTTACAAAATTCCATCATGCAATCTGTGGTGTCATTTCTATTACCAAGGCCATATTTTCCAACTACCAATGCTGTTTCTTTGTTTCCAGCCTTCATATTCCAGCCAGTAATGATCAATACATCTGGATTGCATGTTTGATTAATTTCAGATTGCTGAAGTTGGTAAAAATCTTTAATTTCTTCATCTTTGGCAGTAGTGATTGGTGTGTAAATTTAAATAATAGTTGTATTAACTGGTCGTCCTTGTATGTGTTTGGATACCACCCTATCACTGACAGCACTGTACTTCAGGATAGATCTTGAGATGCTCTTTTTGATGATTAATGTGATACCCTTCCTCCTCAATTTGTCACTCCTGGCAAAGTAGACCATATGATTGTCTGACTCAAAATGGCCAATGCCAGTCCATGTCAGCTCATTAATGCCTAGAATATTGATCTTTATGCATTTCATTTCTGACAACTTCCAGTTTTCCTAGATTCATACTTTGTGTATTCCACAATATGATTACTTGTGGATTTTTCTTCTCATTTTGAGTCATGCTGCATCAGTAAATGAAGGTCCCGAAAGGTGTGTTAATTGAGCCCGTATTATATTCTAGGCTGTTATATATATATATTTTGTTGCTGTGAGCTGCAATCAATTTGGCCCCAGTCATGGAGACACCATGCAAAACAGAAAGCAGCACTGCTTGGTTGTGAGCCATCCTCATGCTGGCATGTGATGAGACCATTGTGATCCACAGGGCTTTCGCTGGCTGATTGTTGGAGGAGATGACTAGACCTGTTTGTCTTAGTTTGGAAGCTCCACTGAAACATGTTTAGCATCATAGTAACACACAAGCCTCCACTGACAGATGGGTGGTGGCTGCATATCAGGTGCCCTGGCTGGGAATCGCACCCAAGACTCCTGCATGGAAGGTGAGAATTCTACCACTGAAACACTAATGCCGCACTCTATGCACCTTACTTATCAACATACACGCTGGTTCAAAAGACCAGGTCATTATGCAAAAATTGGTGTTAGGCAAAAAATGGAGGATGTGCACATTGGATCACAAAACGGAGGATGACTACATCATTAGATAACTGCCAAACTACTGAGAATCACGGCCCAGCCAAGTTGACACAACCTTAACCATCTGGGCCAACATTACTCTCGCCTTGCACCTTGGCATTCATTAGTACCAGACATATGTCATTAATGCACAAAGTAGTCAGATAGATTTTTTACTATTGTCATAAATGCAAAATGTCAGATAACGAGATAGTAAGTGAGGAGTAGGTGTATTTGTTTTTTTCTTAGGAAAATCATACATACACATATATACATGTGCTGCACATGGATAAACTGATTCTTCTAAATGACCCCATGAAGTGGACAACCTAGGCCATAAGTGGCTTGCCCAGGGTCACTTGCTCAGTCAATGGTGGAGCCAGGATTTGAACCCAGGCAGCCTGTATATGGTATCCAAGTGCTTAACTGTGTACATATACTTTGTCCTGTGTATATATACTTTGGAACATCAAAAAAGGTAGATTTTTTTTAAGATATTTCTAATTTTACCACTTATGAATTTTTTGATCTTTCAGTTAAAACAAGATATGTTTTCTGTATACACTGGAAAGCAGCTAAGTCTTTGTAACAAAATTAGCAGCCAGGTCGTCAGCAGGACCAGTTGGTCATAGATAGCCTTTTAACAAGGGAGAGAGAAGAACTCTATAGAAAGGGGACAGAAGCTATGAACAATTTTACTGGGATATGTAATGCAGGTAGACCTCAAAGTCCCTAGAGGGAACCACTGTGTGACTGTAACTCAGGAACCAACCTTCCTAACAAGGACCCTGTACATCAAGGGGGAATGAAACCAATATATTATGTTTGAATACATTAATTATACATTAACTAAGTGTCTACCACTTACATTATTATATGTTAACTATAATCAGTTCCTGGCACTAATCTTTCTTTATTGGTTGCTCACTAAATGTCAAGAACAGTTGCTCCTTTCTCATGACTCAGAAGTCCAGAGAGATGAAGACAGAAAGCACACACATACCTTCAGTACAAGGACAGGAAAGGTTATAACAGAGAGGTACAAAGTAGTATGGACCACAGGCATGGCCAGGTCATTCCAGGAGGGCTGCGGGGAGACTACTGGTCTGCCTACACAGGATACCACACAAGAGCACTTTACATGCATGTGTTGTTGCTGTTATTATGTGCCGTTGAGTCGGACCCGACTCATAGCGACCCCTCCTTGGGTTTCCGAGGCAGTATCACTATGGAAGTAGATTGCCCAACCTTCCTTTTGAGAAGTGGCTGGTGGGTTTGAACTACCAGGCTTCTGGTTAACAGTCAAGTGCCTTAAGGCACTATGTTACCAGAGCTCCCGTCTGCATGCATAAACCCATTCCTTTAAGGTACCCAACCACTGCCATTGAGTCAATTCTGGCTTACAATGCCCCCCTGTGGGTTTCCAAGGCTGTAAATCTTTACAGAAGAGGATTGCCTCATCTTATATGGAGCAGCTGGTGGGTTTGAACTGTTGACCTTCCGATTAGCAGCCAAATGCCTTACCCACTATGCCACCAGAGCTCCTCATTTAAGGTACATTCCCTCAGTATTCAGAAAATGTTGCTCACCTAGGATAACAAATTTCTCAAGTGGTGAGAAAGCAAAGACTTTTCTGCTCTAGGTCACAGATTGGGAAGATGTTGGTCTCAGGAGAAAAAAGCAAATACTCTCTGCTCCCCCACCTCCCAAACTGCAAACGAAGTATGAATTTCAAGGAATCTTCCCAATGATCCTTGTGCAGAATATGCACCCTTGAAACCTCTCAAGATGCTGGCCTCCAATGAAGTATCATTTTGAAGGTGCACTCACAATATAACACTCTCTCAAATAAAACCCTTTTATGCTACATACTTTGCAATGAAGTCAAACTACTAACAGAAATTATCTCAGGTTTGCTCAGTGAGTGAATCTGAACTGTAGAGTCTTGAACTAAAAACCATAATGACAGCCTCCTCATTCAAGGGGAGAGAGCTACAGATCGTAAAACAAAGATATGAGGAGCCTGTATATATATATATGTTTTTTGTCAGTAGCCCTCAAAGCATGAGGTAGATATTTTGGGGTTCCAAATTGTCAGCTTATAGCACAGTTCTAACAAGTGATGTCATCTCATTCTGCTCAACCACCATCGATCGACTAACAAATCAGAAAATAAGTGCTAGGGCAGGTGAGGAAACAGACAGCTGTGGAGGGAGCGCCAAGGCCAGCGAAGTTCAACCACCGGCAATGTCGTCAATTACAAGTCATGGAGAAAAGCTCCCCAACATTTAGACTACAAATTCTCAATAATGGTCTAAGCCACTTAATTCAGTTTGTTTTTTTAAAAAAACCATGTTTTGCAATATTATTTTAGACAATTCCCAGATGATGGGCAGCCTGATAAATCCTGAGAGTTTTCTATCCTGAGAGTTTTCTGCCACTAGACATCAGTTCATCTCCCAACAACATTTGTGTTTAGTTTTCCAATATTAATTTTTTTTTTTTTTTTTTTGCTTTTCCTCTGTGATGGTTCTTACTGTCATTTCTCAATGCATTTAATTTCATGTAAGCATTCAGGACAGTTTTCATAATGAAATGGATAAATGGTGTCTGAAAATGGATGCATTCAATATGGATTAAAACTGAGTTTAGGCCAATGATCTAGTGAAATTGTTGATAGGTCCCTAAGTGGTGCAAAGGAACCCTGGTTGTTCAGTGGTTAATGCACTAGGGTGCTAACTACAAGGCCAGTTGTTCAAACCCACCAGCCATTATGTAGGAGAAAGTTGAGTCTGCCCCCGTCAAGATTTGTTGTTTGTTGTTGTTGTTGTTTTATTCTCTATCCTATAGGGTTGCTAGGAATTGGAGTCAACTTGATGGTGATGAGTTAGTTTTTTTTTTTGGGTAAGTGGCACAAATGGTTTGCATTTGACTGCTAACCTACAGGTTGGTGGTTTGAATCCATCCAGTGGTACCACAGAAGTTAGGCCTGGAGATTTCCTTCTGTTAAGATTATTGTTATTAGGTACCATCAAGTCGATTTTTGACTCATCGTGACCACATACGTCCTGTGCAGTTTCCTTGGCTATAATCTTTATAGGAACAATCACCAGGTCTTTCTTCTGCAGAGCTGCTGGTTATGTTTGAACCACCAACCTTTGGTTAGCAGCTGAGTGCCACCAGGGCTCCTATTAAAATCATAGCCAAAAAAACCAGGTGGAACAGTTTTACTCTGTAACACATGGGGCAGCCATGAGTTGAAATCAACTCAATGGCAACCACCAGCACCAGCAGCAGCAGCACCTCCACCAGCACTGCCACCACCACCACCTCCACCTGCACCACCTCCACCTGCACCACCTCCACCTGCACCACCACCAGCACCACCAGCACCACCACCA